AGTTCCTTAATACCATGAACAGCGAATAGTGAAAGGAGGGGAGACAGAGTGGACCCTGTTGGTGGATTGTTGGCGCAGATTGGGAGGGGTCATGCCTCCTAGCAAACCATCCCAAGGGACCCAGCAGTTTATGATCTCGTCTTCACACTATACAAAAATGACTTCATATGCTGGTACCGAGCGAACGGCTAACGCTAGTAAGAGGGCTGATTGTATACCTTCAATCTCACTCTCTACTAACGGGAGGGCTGATTGCATTCCTTCAGTCTCACTCTCTGCACTAAGCTACCGCAAGGGTAGCAAGGAGAAAGAAACTATACTCACACGGTAAGTGAAAGAGGGAGACACAGGGGAGGAATTAATAGAATGACTGGGGTCGGGGTTGGGTGCCCTTTTCTGGGTGGGCGTTAGTGAGTTCATTGTTGGACCTGATCTTGAGTGATTCGGCAGAACTTTTCTTGTGTCTGCCTTTGGATACTTTTGGTTCATCCGTGGAATAATTTCTCACCCCACAACCATTGTTCGTTCTGTCCATCGAATCATTTGCCGGGGTGCCAATCGAGTGGGTGCTCATGTTCCTACGCGTCAATTCACTACTGGGTCTCCTCGCGTATTCGCTGGTCTGTCTTCCCAGAAACTCGCTGACTGGTCTGGTCTGTCTTCCCAGAAACTCGATGACTAGTCTGTCCTTCGGTTTGCCTACCGAATCGGTGATCGTTTTACCTCTCAACTCAGTCCTCAATCTGTCCATGGATTGGTGCATAGACTGACTCTTGGACTTATCGATAGGTTTCACCGATTTACGGGACCGCCGGTCATGCGACATGGTTCTACCCCTATTAGCCGGGTCCCATAAACCGTCTTCGTCCTCCCAAGCGTTGTGTAAGGTTTTGATAGAAATGGTCTGTGCGAAATTTTGGCGGAAGGTGTTATCAAATTCCTGACGAATAAATTCCCGTATCGTCTCCCGTTTCCGAAGACGTTTTGCCCTTTGGTTTCTCTGAACCCAATCCGCTAGACCCTTTAGACTGAGCGAGTTCAGTAGCCCCGGGATCTTAGGCTTCTTCTCATCTGTCGGATCCAGTCTTCCCGGTCCGAACCACTCCTGCTTGGGAGTCTCGTATGCCCATCGTGCCAAATGGCTGAATGGCAGGAAATTTAGTAGCGCTGGTGGCATCCTCGACATGGTCGCAGATGACCCTCGGTCAACGATAGAGTACTGTTTCATCGGACCTTCGGTCGACCGGAAGAAACGGGTAGTCATTGGACGGATGCCGCCCTGATAGATACCAGGCCACCAGAAGAATTTACGAGTCCCAGCACGTTCGTACATTTCCGCCGGAAAAACTTCCAAGTAGATGTCGTCGGAGTCTTTTGGTTTCCCCTGGCCTGTATGTTCCACTAAGCGGCCGTTCTTTGCAGTCAAGTTGGGGTATTCAATCAAGCGGTCTTCGCAGAAGAGAGGCAGGGTCTGTTGGAAGACACTTTGTTTTTTGATGCGCTCCTCCCGGGTCTTATACTGAAGTATTTTCTCCTTTTGTATTTTGAAGTATTCAGGCGTTTTCTTCACAAAATTCGTGCGGAACATCGTGAGTTTCCGACAACCATGGAGAAATGTAGCCCCGTACACCTTCTCCAGGTCCGGCATACTCTCCGCATCCCCTGTATTCAACGCTTCGTGACGCCAGCATCGATCACACACCAACGCATAGTGTAGTGCCCTAGCAAAGTGCTTCACACGTTCCGACAACATTGCCTCGCGTACCGACCGCGATACGCTCTCGCCACCCATTAATTCCGGGTGCGTCACACGCATCTCATGGGTCTTAAATAATTCCGAATAACTTCGCAAGGCCACCGGAGACAGCTTCAAGACTTCCGGATTCAGTCGATTATCTACGAGCGTCTCCGCGAAACCACAAGCTCCGCCCACTACCCCACATACCTCACCAAGCAAACCGTCAATAAGCAATCCGTCAAACACCTCATACTCCTTCCGGTCTCTGTCAACCCCTATTCCGTCCTTGCAATTCACCTGCGCATCGTCCGACAACTCTCGATCCCAGGAACCCAACTTTACCAACCTCGGACCCAACCATCTAGGAAACACATAATGACCACAGAGCTTTGCGTCAGAATCCCACGCGTCAGGACGACCCAAGTTCGTAGCTATGATGGCAACAGAGAGCAACGAACTCCCACCGTCTCGGTGGTGTCGTGCTTTCACAATACAGCTGTTGACCATTTTTTTTTTTTTTGGCCT